TATGGTCCAGCTCTCACTTCCATACAACACTACAGGAAAAACCATAGCTTTGACTATTCGGACTTTTGTTGGCAAGGTGATGTCTCTGCTTTTTAAGATGCTGTCAAGGATACATCAAATAAAAGATACAAAGATACATCAAATAATACAAAGATACATCAAATAAAAACAACATAATCAAAACTCAAAGAACAGTAGAAACTGAGACATAAAATGCGGCACGGGCATATAAACAAGCAGAGCAGCAGAAGAAAGCCTTAAGCAGGGTAGTATGGGTGTCAACGCCCTGCAGTGGAGAGCATGTAGTGAGTCACTATGCGGCTACTCCTCCACAAAAGCTCATTTTAAACATTATAAGACCTACCAAGTCCTGCATTGAGTGAGAGGGAAACATTATAAGTTAGTCTTTCAGGTGCCACCATTTTTGTCTTTTTTTTTACTCTCTATTTCTATTTTGCATTTACCTATAATGCTTGCACAGACTAATATGCCCTCCCTTTTACATCTACAACATGAATGGTCCATAAAGTTTTTAAAAAACCCAAGATTGGATAATATATATGAGATTGCTGTTGTTTGGCTTTTGCTAGAGCACTCGGGGCAGCTTACAGCATAATTATTCAAAGAACATTTCCCTCTCCCGCTAGCTGGGTACTTATTTTACCAACTTTGAAAGGATAGAAGGCTGAGTCAGTCTTGATCTGGCTACCTGAACCCACTGGGGTTGAACTCAGGTCATGAGCAGAGGCTTGTTTGCAATACTACAGCTTAACCACTGCCAATGGTTATGTGCTGCCAAGCTGTTTCATAATCAGTTATGATGATCCTATGAGAGATTTTCCAGACTGGTGAGATATGGAAGCAGTGGTTGTTCATTGTATCCTCCACTGGATTTTGGTGGTCTAGCAATGATTTGAATCCCTAGTCCAGCATTTCACTCAGTATACCATACTGATGTACTGAGTGACTGGGAGCACCCAAGTGTTACCACAATGGTCCAAAAAGTTGCACAAACCATCCGAACTCTTCAGAATTCTTTGCCAGGCATGATGGTTGCAAAAAGTTTACACACCTGACTTGGTTGTTTTGCATTTGAATGGGTGGGTCAAATAATAACAACACATAAAGAACAATTCCAGAAATCTTCACAAATGAGGATTTGTATTCAGATGCACACTGTTTGTGCAAAGCTGTTTAACGCAGATGTCTTGAAGACTTGGATTGTGTCTGAGAAAGTGGTCTTGATCTGTGAAATCCCACATTAAAAAACAGAAATTGGTGTTTAAGGTGCCACAGTGTTTCTGCCTCTTGCTTTTTTATGTTTGAGCATCTAGAGATTTATCAATAAATATTACATTTTTAAAATCCTGTAAATTAATAACAGCTATGTGCCATCAAGGCAGTTCTGACTGATGGCAACCCTTTTCAGAGTTGGTACACAGTATTCAAGTGGTTTACTGTTCCCTTCTTCCGGGGGCGTTCTGGGATTATGCAGCTAGCCCAAGGTTTGCTGGCTCTTTCTCCCAGGAGACTTAGTAGATAAAATGGTTGTTGTGGGTTTTTCGGGCTCTTTGGCTGTGTTCTAAAGGTTCATCTTCCTGATGTTTCACCAGTCTCTGTGGCCAGCATCTTAGTACTTTAGTACTACCTTAGTACTTGCGCTCGTAATTTCTAGATTAGACTACTGTAACGCGCTCTACGTGGGGCTTCCTTTGAAGCTGATGCGGAAACTTCAAGTGGTGCAGAGTGCGGCGGCCAGACTCCTTACTGGAGTGAGAAAATACCAGCATATCTCTCCTACTCTGGCCATGCTGCACTGGCTGCCCATCCATTTCCGCATTGACTTCAAAGTGTTAATGCTTACATATAAAGCCCTAAACGGTTTAGGACCTCGATACCTGGCGGAACGCTTACTCCCAACTAGTTCTACCCGTGTCACCCGTGCGAGCCAAGAGGTGAGGCTGAGGAACCTGACGCCAAGGGAGGCCCGGAAAGAAAGAACTAGAAACCGGGCCTTCTCAGCGGTGGCTCCTCGTCTCTGGAATAACCTACCTCCGGAGATTCGCGCTGCACCCTCGCTGGGTACGATTAAGAACCAACTAAAAACATGGATGTTTAGGCAGGCCTTCCCTCCCAGTTAATTCCTGTCCTCTTTCCTTTTTTTTTCTCTTTATTTGATTTATTTTTATTTTTCCCATCTTATAGAATCATCTAATTAATTAATTGTTATAAATTTTTTAGAACTTGTTATCATTTGTTTTAAGCCGCCTAGAGTGGTCGAAATGACTAGATAGGTGGGGTATAAATACAATAAATAAATAAAATAAATAAAATAAATCTTCAGAGGATGCCGGCCACAGAGACTGGTGAAACGTCAGGAAGAACAACCTTCAGAACACGGCCAAAGAGCCCGAAAAAACCACAACAATCATTAAATCCCTGCAGTGAAAGCCTTCGCGAATACATTAGTGGATAAACTCATTGTGCTATCTAGCCGGTTGAAATTAACTCACGAAACACAGAACTGTGCTAAAAAACAAGCTGTGTCCACTAGGAGGTGCAATTTATCAGTATATCAAAAGTTACTTGCAGTTGTATTAATGATCTTGTCATAGTATTGCACAGATCTATTTTTACTAGTGATGTGATAGAGGTTGCCACGCATGATCATGGATTCCAAGATGCTCAACTATAATAATACAATCAAATATTTATTTAGTTTTTAAAAAGAGTATTTTAAAATAGCTATTACGGAAGCAACTGCCAATTAAAAAAAGCAAGAGTTTTACCTACTGCTTCAATTTGAACATATAAAAAGATTTCAGAAGTCATTGTATCAGTATTTATAGAGAATAAAGATAGGGAATCTATGGCCTCCAGATATTGCTGGATCCCAGTCTCAGACTGGTAACAAATGAATGAGCAATAAAAGAGCATCTGGGGTGCTGCTCTTGAATCTCTTTAAGGCTAGGATAAAATCATAAAAGCCCTTGTGTTTCAGACCAGAGGCCTGTGTAGTTC